GAAGAAGAAGAAAAATCTTCACATAATGGCTAAACTGCTTTTTTTCTTTGTTGGTTTGTTGATTTTTTTTATGGTTTTGCAAATAGATGTGTGAAACCTTTATTGAACGAAGAACAAACTTAGTTCTATTCAGGTCGCATAAATTAGTTATATTCACGAAGTGTTTTTATTATAAATACCAAAAAGGTGCTATGTGTTTAAGAACAGTGCAAAAATAATTCCTTCACAAGTTAAATTTTTTTTAATATTTAATATTTTTTTTTGAAGGGTTTTATTAAATGGCCTCTCATTAATACACTTTTTTTTAGAATCTCTCGTTGATATACATTAATTAACTAATAAGTAATATACACATCTGTGATATGCCCAGAGCCCCAAACATGATTATTAGTGTCATATTTGGTGTCTAACTGATAATATCATGTCACCTCATATAAAAAATTTAAACTACTTTTTAACTAAATTTTTTGTGCTTATCATAGGATGATATGATATGATTTAATTGGTTAGACATCAATTAAGACACTAAAAATTAGATAGAGGATCTGGATCCCCAAACATACCCATTACCCACTCGCACAGAAGAAAGGAGTTTTTTACAATAGGCCTTAAAAAATATACTATCAGTAGGTCTCTTATTTTTTAACGGGTAAAATCTGTATTAAATTGTTCATTATACATATTTTTATAGTTAAATTCATGAATAGTCTTCAACTTTTTTCTCTCTCTAAAATTGTCTTTATAGTCAATATTTTCTCATGAATAGTTGCGGAACTCAAAAAGTATAAATAGTCATTCAGTTAAATTTTATATGAAAATTGTTAACTTTGTCTCATTAAGGTCCCTAAACTATCTTCTCTCTTTAGAAATAGCCTTCATATTAAAAGTTGTACTAAATTTAATCTGTACATTTAACAATGATATATCAAAAGTAGTTTTTTTTTAAATAAATAGATAGCAAATATTAAATGTGAGAAGGTGTACCAGATGCAGTAATTAAAAAAGAAAATAGCAAAATTAATTTTTTTTCTACACATATTTGACTTTTTTATCTATTTATTCACATATGTAATTTTAATAATTTGTTGAGTGGTTGTATTCTCCCAATCATATTAATAAATATTTCCATATTATTATTATTATATGGTAATAAAAACTTTAAGACATATTCTTTTATAGATGTAATTTACATTATACCCATTTTAACTCTTAATATCTCAATCTGTCGCTTTTTTATTTTCTTAACAAAAAATTTCTATAAAAATAAAATAAAATAAAATTACAAACAAATATAATTTGAAACAAAATAAAACGTTAAAAGCCAACACATTCAAAATTCAACCAAGAAGAAAATAGTTATATATATTGTTGTGTGGGAAAATGTGACGGACATGTGGACGAAGTAGATCACGACACGTGGTCTTGACTAAATCCCCACCAAGCAAGGAGCCGTCAACGCTTACGGACCCCTCTTATTCCACGGCGAAGGCCCAAGGACGAAGTCCAAGTTAGGGCGATGATCCCTTATGGCGTCGACTGATTGCGCCGTCGACGTTGAGAGATGAAGATCTCTCGACCGCAGAGAGGGCCACTGAAGAAGGCGGTTGGGCTAAGCAGTGCTGACGACGAGAGGAACGTTCTTTGGAGGACATGACGGGTTAC